AGCATCTTCTGTGACTGTAAAGTCTGATGTGGGAGTGGCAGTCTCTGCGACATTGGATACACAAAAAAGTAGATGCTCCCACACTATGAGACTGATTTTTGTCTCCGGTATCTTTTCTCTATAGCTCACTGCATTTGGTTTCTTTCACTTTCTGTCACCATAGAAGTCGATCTGCAGCTGATTTTTCCCAAGTCTTTGTGCCTATATTGGTATCTATCAGGCCACATTTGCATGTCTTTATAACCTAGCTTCGGACCTCCTGTAGGTCTATTCCATGTTTCCAGTTCAACATGCAGGAGGTTCTTTGTAACATCCTCCAAGCGGGAGACCGAACCATCTTTGCTTCAGTAGATAGTACATTGATGGTATTTTTGCTCTTGTGAGTATACTTTTGTTGGAGACAAGGTCTCCCCATGATAATGTATTTACAGTTGTACCAAAAACATAATGACGATTTACCTGAATTTAAACAGAAACATTTCTTAAAATATGCCATTAACATTGCACCAGTGAATCAAGGAACATTTGATTAGTTATGACTTTAATAAGTACTTCCTTTCTTGTTGAGTTGATTCAAGAATCGACATGACAGCAATCAGTGCATTCAAATAAGCCCTCAGTCCCCATCTTCTGCAGCAGCGCAGAATTCCAATACCAATGGTGACAGCAGCCTTGTGAATAAATGCCGATCTTGCCTTTCCTCTGAGTGTTGAGCATCGGGCAAAACCTTTAATCACACCTCACTGTATCGCCTTTCTTACTTTAGTCTTAAAAATAACAATTTGAAACTAACAGCTGCATCACTTAACTATTAAATGTTTCACACATCAGGCAATATTATGTCAGATGATATATTTAAACTATGTTATTCTCTCTAGCAGCTCAGTGATTTAAATTTAGTAACAAAATGTCTCTCCTGTTGCACACACAAAATCACGTCAATTGGGCACACAGGTCTGAACACCAACACTGGAAAGGCAAAGATAATGAGAATAAATGAAGTACAGGATAACCATTTATCCCTAGGTAAGATAAGAACTTGCATCACAGCACAGGGACATTCCCACATGCAGTCCTTTGTTTTCTTCTGTAGCCAGGAAGTATTCCGGTTCTGGGGGCTTCAGTAGCCAGCAAGTATTCCAGTTCTGGGGGCTTACGTAGCCAGCAAGTATTTCAATTCTGGTAGCTTCAGTAGCCAGCAAGTATTCCAGTTCTGGGGGCTTCTGTAGCCAGCAAGTGTTCCAATTCTGGTGGATTCAGCAGCAGTATGACAGGCATGGGCTGAGAATTTTCTAGTGGGGGGGGGGTGCACTGTGTTTTATACAGATGGGTCTGTGGTTTGCCACGTGCAAAGCTCTTGGGCTTTTAGATCTCAGGTGGCATTAGAATTATGAAGCAAGAGTCTGGTGCTGTTGCCTTGACCACAAGTAGTCTGGCTATGGAGGTCGTGGCACTGACCAAAGCTGTAACACTGCTGGAGACACAGACCTTTTCCTGGGCATGCTTTCTCGGTGACTCAAAGGTATGCTCAGGAAGATAGAGAATGGCTGGATCTGAAGACAGTGGCTGGAGTCTCTTAAGTGGTCGAGGCTCACACATCAGTTTCATATTTGTAACAGGGCAGGCAGGGGTGCATGGAAATGAGCAAGTCTCTCGGCTTACAGGTAAAGCTACTCTCGAGGGTGGACGAGCCATAGACATTGCCGATATTCTGAATGCCTCTCTTTTACTGCTTTTGTTTTTCCATAATCCAATGATTGTGGCATTTCCTCAGTCCCATGGTTTCTGTTGTTTCACCCACACATGGTTAAACAGCCTATGCAGCCATGCTTTACCCCACGCCCTTCACTACTTTAAGTAGTTCATTTAGTATATCACCTGGTCATGTTGATTTATTTGCTGGGGCGACTCTGATTTCTTCCATGATCTCTTCTTTTAGGATGTCAGTTTCTGGTTCTTCGTGGTGTCCACTGTAATGTCTTGAGTTTCTGTGGTGTCATATGGTGTATTGAGAAGTTGTTTGAAGTACTGTGTCTGTCTTTCTAGAAGTTTCTGTCCACGTATTAGCGCTCCTTTTTTCACGGCTAATTATTTCAGTTGGGTCTAATCTGCTTCACATTAATTTTATCTTTTTGTAGAAATCTCTAGCTACTTCTTGTAATTTGCTTTAAATTGTTCCTTGTTGGCGATTCTATATTTGATATAATCGTCATGTTGTTTACTCTTCACCCATTTCTTATACTTGTTCTGTTTGTCTTTGACAGCTCCTTTCAGTTCACCATTCTACAAACTTGTTAGTTTCTTTTGTAGAGTTCTGCTTTTCCTCTTAGTTCTGCATGTTATTTTTGCAGCATTTAGAATACTGGATTTAAATTTCACCCATTTGTCTTCCTGTCCAAGGATAATTTTATAAAACTTTTTTTTTTTAATTCTTTCTTATAGTTTTCTCTCACTGAATCATCTTTAAGATTCTTTAGGTTGAATGATTCGTTAGTCAGTTTTTGTGTGTGTGTGTTCTTAAAATGTACTTTCTTTTTCTACTGCTTCTTATGTAGCCAGCAAGTATTTCAATTCTGGTAGCTTCAGTAGCCAGCAAATATTCCAGTTCTGGGGGCTTCTGTAGCCAGCAAGTATTCCAGTTCTTTTATACTTACTGTTATGATTCTCTCTGATAGGTAGCTAATTTCAAACATTCTTGTTTTTAGTGATGGTTTATTGATAAATTCTACTCCATGTTTTGCTTTTGCCTGTTGTTCAAATCCAGAGTATATCAGCATAAAATTATGACAAATCTCCCATAATTTCAATTTTTCGCTTTCCCATTATTTCTATCAGTACTTTTTGTTTATTTGTACGCAGATGTTGAATGTTCCTATTTTTTGAATTGCTGGTCTATGTCAATGTCCTTTAACATTGCCTGGTTCATTGCCGTCTACATCAGTCCATGTATTCTTCATTTGGTTTCTTCGAGCGGTAAAACATGTTTGGCAAAATTAAACATAGAATTCATTTTGAATGAATTATGCATCATGCGTTAGTATGAAAAAATTATCTTAAGCATTTAGGCAAGCGCTTAATTGCTTGGGTAGGCAGCGAATGACATCTGCAACAAAAAAAAAGGGACTGTGTATGCTCATTGAACCAAGTCTTTACCTTGTTCATTACATCTGGCTCTGTGTGATATCTGTTGTGCCCACTGTAAATACACTTGTCAGTATTGCGGGTTCTTACAAACAACCTTTTAAGCTGTCACTACTGACGCATTGAATTCTTTCACTGTCAGTGCTATTCTTTGACATTGTTTTATAACTCTATTGCTGCCTAAATTTTGGCGGCAGTTTTTTTTCTCTCTCTGTTGCAACATTATGGGCTTGACCCCGGCCGTGGAAGATCTGTTATGAACTCACATTTTTTCTGGAACATTCTTGCCACATCTGTTGCTGGTGTCTTTGATACACATTTATTACTCTACACTGCCTGCATTTTTCTATAACTGTCCACTGATTGACATCCTTTACATGAAAGAAGGTGAATAACCGCTCTTTGAGCTGGTTTGGGTGGATTTTAATTAACTCTGCCAGTCAGAAACAGAAGCTGTTCATCATGAGATGATAAGTTATGACACATATATATATATACACACACACACACACACACACACACACACAAAAGCAGATAAAGTAAATTGTTTCTCTACTTAGAGGTGATGCCTTACCATACAGGGCTACACGGAATGAGAATAGTGATGTAGAGCCTGCGATAGAACGAATTAATGAACAAACTTTTATTTTTCTTCCGAGGGGTTAAGAATTAGGTACAGAGGCCCATTCAACATTATGCATTTCTAATCTCCCTCCTTTCTTACATCATTTCATTCGTACATCATTTCATTCATACTTTATTTGTTTCATACATCTGTTAACAAATAATAATGTAAATTATCAACAGCTACTAAATACAGATATCCAAGAGGGGCAAAATAACAGCTAAATTTCCGACTACTGACTAATTTATAGGCTAAAAATATGGTGGGAAGACATCAGAGAGACTACAACAGAAGCAAGTTTTTGGGGTCAAGGTTTTCATAGAGCAAGAACCTGACCCCTGTACCTTCCTCAATACTAAAAATGAAAAAGAAGAAAAGGCTTTAGGAATGAAACTAGAAGTATAATTCAGACACCAGTATGGCAAGAGGTGTTTTCAGTAATAGAAGCATTATTAGTTATAAGGAAAAGGTTACATATGACAAACATGCCCACATCTCGCCAGTGCGCAAGATTTCCTATTGTCTCCCAGTCATGCCATGGCTGTTTCCATGAGCTGTTACATGTTTTAGGGGTGTCATGTGTTAATTTCAATGCCTCAAGTGTCCTTTATTCTACGCTGTGAGCGGCCAGCAGCACATTTGATTTTCCACGATATTGTCAGGGGCTGACAGCGCTGCGTGTGTGTTGCAGCATTGTGCGTTGGCTATTCATTGCTGTCACTGTGGCCTTACTTGGTGACAGTGAGATGAATTTCCTTTAACTGTGAGCACTGGTGAGCAACACAGCATCTTTCATTCAGCCACCATAAAAGAGAGCTGCGCACTCTCGTCATGTTGGACCTAGAATAGTATTCAGCACAGTGTGTGTAGATGGGGGCGGGGGGAATAGGGGAAGAAAGGCATATGTTAATACCCCTAGAACATAGAACAGCCTGTGGGAACGGCCACGGCATGAATGAGAGCTGACAGGAAATCTTGCGAGCCAGCGAAATGCGGACAGGTTCAGGATATGTACCAGGGAATGACAAGCAAAGAACTATAAGAGATAGCAAATGGTGCGAGAGCTGACCTCAGATGGTCATGGGCATATACTCTGTTGGTTGATAACAGTAGAAGAAGAAAGTCTGTTTCCCCTATTTGCACTATGACGTCTTTTACTCAACTCTTCACAGGTGGTGAACAATGAAAAAAGTGATCAGGGAGTGAGGTGTGATGACTGACAACAGTTGACAGAATGAATAACAAGCAAGCTTTTTCTGATGAAGATCATCACTCCTCTGACAGATATACTGAGGATTTTGAAAGTGATGATGGAAAGAGAACCTCAACACCCAAAAAGCGCTCCAGCCCGATGAAAGTTTCCAACCACCAGTACTATCAGGATAAGTGTGAGTTTGTGTCTTTGTTAGGCTGGTGTTTGTGTCTGTTTGTTAGGCTGGTGTTTGTGTCTGTTTGTTAGGCTGGTGTTTGTGTCTGTTTGTTAGGCTGGTGTTTGTGTCTGTTTGTTAGGCTGTTGTTTGTGTCTGTTTGTTAGGCTGATGTTTGTATTATTTCATCTCATTTAATACTCTCTTCTATATGTATGCTTGAGGCCTCAGAGGTGTGGTTTTACAGAAGAATCCTTAGAATTTTGAAGACGGCTAAAAAGACCAAACCAGATGTTTGGAAAGAGCTGAGGACTCAAAGACAACTTTTTACAAACATCAGAAGAGAAGGGCATTGTTTTTTGGTCATGTTATGAGAAGAGAGAAACCGTACCATGTTGTGACTACTTAAAAATTTGTGGAAAGAGAGACGGAGGAAGACAGTGTAAGAAGATCCTTGACAGCCTTTTTTCATGGCATGGAAGGGTGTCAACACCTGAACTGATAAAGCAGTTGCAGATCACAGATTGAGGAGAGACATGATCACCCTTGCCAATCAGTAAGGTACATGATGATGATGATATGTATGCTAGTCTGTTTATTTTATTTTATTTTTTAGGGTATTGTCTAACAAAAAATTTTTTTGTGTGTGTTAAATCTTCGCAACTAGGGTTGCCTATTGTGTACCACTTTTGTCTTTGGGAATATTACGTTGTCAGGCACCAATCTCTTCCACAGTGCGACTGTCGTACTCTTGTCTGGAAAACTGTGTGTAACTTTTTTTTTTTTACTATCAGCCATGTGGGGAGGGGGGGGGGGGGTGTACTTGAGGATCATGAAATTATTAACCACATACATTACCTATGAGCCATGGAGCTGCCCAGTCTACATTAGAGGTTTCCTGTTGGCTCATATCCTGTTGAGATTCTTAGTTTCTCAAGTCTCCCATGTGCCCCCATGCTTTTTAACAGCCATACTGAAGAACTTGATGGTGTCTGTGGCTTATGTGTTGTGAGCGTGGTTTATAATGCCGGGGTGCCAAGTTCGATCCCAACTGCAGATGGTTTGTCTTGCATTGGTTTCAACAGTGGTGCCAAGAGCTGACCATTCAGAAGCAATGGCAAACTACTGAATGTAAAATTTGCCTAGAAAAACTACTACAACAAAATAAAAATGATGGAATTCTGTCTGCAACATTCTGTAAATTACATGCAACCAAATTTAACTAAAGAACTGATCTGTCGTCTGTTTTCTTTGTCTGCTTAAGGACGCGGCTTATGATTTGTTTCCTGCATAGTGCGTGTTCATTACCTTGCTGCATGGTGATATTGTGAATTTATTTTTTGGAAATATTAGAACTGTCACAACAACATTAATGAACAAACAAAAAAAATGATTGCATTCTAAAGTTAAAGTTTTTGCTATTGTGAATGATATCACGGAGCCCTTAATTTGTTTCTATGGACAACCACTGGATGGGCAAGACTGATCTACCTCATTGTTGGTAACATCCTAACACCACATGGCCATAGCTTGTTTACACTCAGCTGTTTATTATATATAATGTTTTTATATTCGGCCTTGCTATGAGAAGAGGGGAAAATAGAACGTGTTGTGACCACTGGAAAGATCTGTGGAAGGAGGGATAGAGGAAGACAACGAGAGAAGATTCTTGACAGTCTTGTTGCATGGCATGGAGGTGTGTCGGCACACGAACTGATACATGCTGCAGGAGATCGTGGATTATGGAGAGGCATGATCGCCCACGCCAGTCGGCAAGGCACCTGATGATGATATATGAGAAAGAGTTTAAAAAATTACCTACGCTTTTAATTCTACAATTTATTTACACGAAGCTGTGGTTTCACCGTGCACATCATTTGTCTGCGTAATCTCTCTCCTTATCGATGCACTTGCTCAGTAGTCAGCAAGCTTACGTATCGCTTCCAAGTAAAGGATTTTCAGCAGGTTGTGAGGCCACTTTTGCACCATATTTTACTCATCTAAGTTTGAGGCAAATCAGCGAACTCGCAAAACATCCTTGAGCAGCCTAAATAAATAAGCCAAGTCTGGAATGTACCCATTTAAGGCTGGGTCGACCTGCGATGCCCCATACCATGATAAAAACCCACGCAGCCAGCAGTGGGTTTCGATCGCGGTATGTTGAATTACGAGTCGGACTCTCAACACCTAAGCCACGGACGCCGCAAACACAGAAGTAATGGCAGTTAACTGACTCACAAAGAGAACCGATTGCCCACACAAGAAGGAGGAAATGTACATTATTTGGTCATGTCATAAGTAGGAATGAAGTACGTCATGACGGTTAGAAAGTTGAAAGGCAAAAGAAGCAGAGGGAACCAGAGAGAGCAAATACTGGACAGTTTGGCGTCATGTCATTGAAGATCATCTGTGTCAAAACCAGCTGATAGCACATGATTCAGAAGGCTGCGTATAGACATGACTACCAATGCAACATGACATGGACTAAGATAGAGAACTTTTGAGGGCATTGCTTCTGTTTGGTTTCCATCCAAAATGCCTGAATATCTTTTATACTTAAGACTCCCAAATAAATGGCATGATATATAAAATCTAACTCTACCTGTTTTTGTTTTCATTAAAAATATGATTATTTTTTTGTTTCAAGCTTTTATTTCAATTAAAAATTAAGTTACAAATTCTGAAATTACATTATATAATGAATAAAACCTCGATGGCATCCTAAGTGCAGGACATACATGAAAAACATATTTCTCCCCAACTTTACCTCTTTCTTTCCACCTCTTCTCGCTCCATCTCCTCTCTCTGTATTTACCCCTTCCACAACTCCTTTCCCGTTCTCTCATTCAGGCACGCTGTCTCTATCTCCATTTTAAATATTATTTAGGAGACTGGCATGTGTATTTATTTACAGTACAAATAATCTTTGACTGTATGACAAAATGGAAGATACCAGACAAAACTGTACAGAATTGACATAGGAGCTTGTGAAAGGAAAGTCATGGATATGGCCTGTGTTTTTAGATAACAAAGGAGTAGGTGATATAACTCGCTCGCTTGTGAAACGTTTTCTGGAGATTAAAGATACACACAATATTACAAGCCGATGAATTGCAGACCTGACCTAAAAAAATGACTGATCGGGGGAAAACAGTCAGGAATTCAGTAGTAGTAGTAGTATGTTTTACCCCACCAGGACATCACACAAGCAATAAACACCCGATGACAAAAAAGTGCCACCATGTGGATGATAATCACCCCTGGAGAGGTCCCGGAAGCCGCTTTTATCCATTAGACCTTATTTATGGCCGGGCTATTTTGCAGCCCCTGGCAAGAGCAAGGGTTGGGTTTCAAAATAACAAAAAATTTCATCCCACAAAGAAGTCACTAGATTAATAACAGAACTGGCTATTTTGGGAAAATAAGATGCCTGGCACTACTTCCCGTCCTTTTTAGGATGAAATTTTTTTTTGTTTGAAGCCCTACTCTGGCTCTTGCCAGGGGCCCAAATAAATGTGGCCTTATGGCTGAATGCGGTTTTTGGGACCTCTTCACGGTGATCATCCACATGGTGGCAGATTGTGTCATCGGGTATTTATGTGATGTCCTGGTGGGGTAGAAAGTCAGTAAGTCAAATAAGATGCCAAAAATAGAATAGGAACATAATTGCATATCAAATTATGTAGAACAATAAAATAAAGAATATAATCCACTATTTTTATATTTAAACAGTTACATATTTTTTACAGGTGAGATAAGGCACTAAATTATTCTTCATTTAACTATGAAAATTATTCAAAAAAGGTATAGAAGCAGAAAAAAAAAGAAATATTGACAAAACAATAAAGTATGTTTATTTCTCTTAGTAGAAAAACTCCAACATATATGTCCCTTCTCTAATGTTTATTTATTGTATGCGTTTATCTGGGTAAACATATATGTTTAAATTAGTCATTAAAGGATATCTATATTGTATGTGAAGAAAAGAAATAAAACCGAACAAAAAGTATATCAGCAAACTTCACAATATAAGGAGCACACACAAAATATGAACGTTGCGGCTATGGAGCCTTCATTAGCACATAGTTTCACCTACATTCTATGTGGCTCATACCATTGTGTACTTTGTACTTCAATCGTCTCCTGAATGTGTCTACCTTTTTTTAAACCCTTGATCGTTATGCACAAACTTTTCTATTATTTATTATTACTCCTGGCTCTCCGCTAGCTTTACTGCAGTTAGCCTATCTTTAGTTGTTGTGTGGAAGGCTTTGATGATACAACCTTTACTCGTGCATGACATCGCGTTCCAGCAGGCTAACCTTGCCATTACTGGTGCACTGTTTATAACTATATGGACGTGGAAAATGGTATCGGGGCTTCACATGTTGGCAGGAATCATTTTTTTTACTGGGCAGTGCGCAACGCCTGCACTTTTTTAAAGCATTTTTCTCCACGTACTGTAATAAAAAACACTTTATAGTGAGTACCACCACTTTTATCAGACACTATTTGGTGAGTACTGCCACCTTTTATTAATCACTTTGTGGTGAGTACCGACACCTTTTATCGGACACTTTGTGGTAAGTACCGACAACTTTTATTAGACGCTTTGTGATGAGTACTGACACCTTTTATTAGACAGTTTGTGATGAGTACCGACACCTTTTATTAGACACTTTGTTGTGAGTACCGACACCTTTTATTAGACGCTTTGTGGTGAGAACCGACACCTTTTATTAGACACTATTTGGTGAGTACTGACACCTTTTATTAGACACTATTTGGTGAGTACTGACGCCTTTTATTAGACACTTTGTGGTGAGTACCGACACCTTTTATTAGACACTTCTTGGTGAGTACTGACACCTTTTATTAGACAGTTTGTGGTGAGTACCGACACCTTTTATTGGACACTTTGTTGTGAGTACCGACACCTTTTATTGGACACTTTGTGGTGAGTACCGACACCTTTTATTGGACACTTTGTGGTGAGTACTGACACTTTTTATCAGACACTT